CTTTTTCTCCGCTGCTGTAAACCAAGGGCGGATTTAAGCGAAGTTGTTTTCGCTGCATCCGCTTGTCGCATCTGCTCGTGGCTTTTTTAGCTCAGTTTCGTAATTTCAAAGCTTGCCGCGAACGCCGGTAACGGTCATTCTTAGTTGGGCGAGCCCTCCCAGCACTAGGAAGGATTTCGTCATGTAATCTGCTCTGAAGGCGTTACAATTTCGTGCAAAGTATATTTCAAATGGTGTTTTGTAAGCTATCACCTCCTTGTTATTTAGAATTCTTTGATAAAGAGGGAGCTGTTTCGCCCTCTCTACACCGTCTTGACCTATCTTTCGAAGGTCATATTCCATCTTTGATCTTAGTGCCCTATAATAACGTTCTACTTTGCCTTGTGACTAGTTATGGCACGAGCGACTGTAAATCAATTTTATATTCATGCGATCGCGAAGTAATTTCAAGGCTTTCTTGAACTCCCCTCCTTGGTCGCACTGGATTATTTCAGGCGATCCATACTCCATATAATTACATTTCAGTTCAACTGCAATTACCTGGCTTGATTTGCTTTCCAAAGGACGAAGCCAAAGGAAACAGCTGAAAAAATCAATCACTAATAGAACGTATGTCCATTCATCTTCACGGATCCTTTTCTGCTCATATCCATCAACCTGTTTGGTGCCTGACATGAGCGTCTCTGGCTCTGATAGGTGTCAGTTTCGCCTTATTAGGAAACTTAGCATTTCGGCGATGATTACTTTTGTCTATGTTTAGTATAATTCGTATTTTAGCTCGACTTACTCCTAAAAATTTGCTGGGCAAATCTTTGTGTTACTGTCAGCTTTTTTGAAACTGGAAAGTTATGCTCTTTACGCGCATGTCATTCTCATAGTGACGATTCAGTAGAAGAAAAGTCCGTTTCAGAGTCAGTCCATGCTACTTTATTTAATGTCTGATCGTTAAGGAGATCAGTGCATCGAGCAATCCCTGTTTCCTTTATTTTTTTTTAATTCTTTGATTGATCAATTAGCATATCCGTTAAAAAACGGCTCACGCGATTAGTTGTACTCACATCTCAGAGAGAGCAAGGGCACAAATTTTTGCGTGAGTTTTTGGGGACCGGGACATCATTTGCAACCTTCAACACCTACAGCCATTTTTAATATTCATCATATCTCACTCGTGTGACTGTTTCCGGTCTCATATGAAACGTACTAGAGTAACAAGTATGCGCTAAACAGACCTGTTTCTTATTTCGAATTACAGTACGACCTCATCCGTAGGAACTTTTTTAGAAACAAGTGCCTTTTAATTTGAAGCCCAAAAAATTTGCGTCGGTGAGCTCGTTCATGACATGCTCCAGATTTTGTTAAATGTCTGTTTTGTGATTGGCAATCTGAGCCGATGATTTATGATGACATGCTGGTCAGCAGCTTCTTTGCATTTACACCTGTTAAGTGTAGTCCATGAGCCAAATCCTGAAATGCGGCTAGAAATCAATTTTCGTAGCACCCCCCGTAAGACATAGTGTATTTGGTATCAAATGAAAGCTTATTGTGTATACTTTAATAATATACTTGTTACTTTTTATGTAACCTGAGCGTAAGCGAGAAAATCAACTTTTCCCAAGGGGGAGTGGGCAAGGACGATTTGCACTTGTAAACCCATAAAAACTATGAACAGGGAATTATTTGCACAAATACCAAATGTTTTTACCCCAAACTTAACAAAAAAATTAATACTCGTAATACTGTAGGAATCTTACGTATAAAACATGGTTTTGGGAGTTGCCATGGCAACTGTTTTCGTCCAAATAGTGAATTACAGAACTGTCATCTTCACTGGCCAAATTTCGCTGAGTGTAATTTTGACAAAAAAAACGCGAAGAAGTTAAGAATGCCACTTTTAAAATTAGGCTTTTCTTGCGCATCCTTTGCCATAATTAACGCAGAAAAATAAGATAAATGCAAATTAAACTTTGGGGTGGGGGTGGGGGTGGGGGAGGGGTTGGGGCTGGCTGGAAGATGACGGAAGTACCTTTATTACACACTCAAAATACTCATACTATTGACAACTGAAATGCATTTGCATTAAAACTCACTAACAATATTTCTCTTGTAGTCACTAAGAGGTGTACCATATAATTTGACTGCCTCAACTGTTGCCATGGCAACGTTTGTACGCTAAACGTTTAGAAGCATAGATAGTAGACTTTGTAATTGATGAAAACAGTAGCATTTGCGTCGTTTTTAACACCTAGTCTTTAAGACTAAGTGTTACATTTAACACAGGTCTTTTACTACACCCTTATTAGGTACATTTGAAGAGAGACATTGTACATTCTCATTTGAACTCGTGAGTCAAAATAATATCAAATATGTTTAAAACCAATGTGTTGCTATTAACATACTTTGTTCTCATCGTTTATAAGATAAACTGTGGAAATAGTAATGTACATGGTTAATTACACTTTCAATACAGTGTGTTCTAAACCAATGTGTTGCAAATAGCATTCTTTGTTTTCGTAGCCGGCTTACAGGAAAAAGAAATCCCAGGTTGGCTTTCATATTCATCACCGTCAGTATCATCATCGCTATCATCATCTTCGCTATCGTCCTTGCTAATACAGTTAAGGCAGTTATCTTGGCATGTGCATGCCTCCGTGCAAGGAAGGCCATTGCTGACAAAAGAACAGCGTCGTGTTTGGCACGATCCTTTGCAGCGGCAGCAAATAAGTTCCATGACCGCTTGAGGGGCAGGTGCCTGGTTAGTCCAGTAGATTTCTAATAGGCCATTCTTCTGTTGCCAACCCTGGCCATCAGGAGACTGTTTCACTTCTGTTTGTAGGGCATGCTTCCAGATGAATGACTGGTAGTTAGCACACTTGAGATGGTTTTCAAGAGCTTCTTTCGTAGGGGGAAGTTGATGTGACTGTAGGCTTTTACTCTTGCAGAACAACTTGTACCTGAGTTCGTTTACACTTTGGCAAAGGTGGTCGTTGTATAAGGCACAGACAAACCGTTCTAGCTTGTTTAAGTCATCTTGTCTAGCAGGAACTCTCTCAAAGCTGGATTCATCTGTACAACATCAAGAGCCTTCTTCTTCCCTTTTGTTGAAAAAGCGCTCACACTATCGCAACCAGTTATGGCATGGAGACTTGGAAGTATTTCGCACATTTCTCGGCCAAGTCTTTCACATACCCGTCAAATGCTAACAATGCGAGATCTTCTACTGGTACCACTGATCAGAATTATGTCAGCAGAAATGGCGGCTTGGTAATAGCAGGCTAGTACTTCTACATCTGTGTCAGAGGACTTAATGGCAATGCCCTGGTGTCCAGGGAGATGCATGTTCTGAGTGGAGGAACATTCTAGTGTCAGCTTCCTCTTGATTGGTGTAAAGTTCGGGCACATCGCTTGCAGTAGTTGAACCATTTGGGGCGACAAGTTTGTTGCAGTTGTCTCCGTGAGTGACAAAGAAGGTGCGGTGTTTAATTTTCTGTGCGTACACGGCATTTTCTGACCACTCCCGTACCAGGAAGCTTAGGAGGTTAGTTTTATTTTTACCATTTGCCAGAAACTTTCTCCACTGACGTGGGCACAGCTGTTGACCGTTGGTGACGTTGACTACCAGCTGTCCATCTCTGCTTCGTTTGTTTCTTTCTGTGTTCTTTATTGAGATGGCCGGATATTGATCTCCTACAAAGTCAATTCTTGCTGCCTCGCCAGCTTCTGTCAGAATTCTAGACATCACCATCTCTGCCAGCTCACAAAATCTATCAGGCACTCTGACTACTGTCTATAGCATCGCCATTGCATCTATGATGACAGCTGTAGTCTGATCAGGTAAGCTCGGTAGGCATTCTACACCATTTTCGAGTAACACAGAAAGACTGACTTTGTTTGTCTTGGCTAATGAGCCATCGGGTAAAGCTAAAGACCACGGGAGAGGGCCAAGCTCATGAGACAGCAGACATCTCAGGTCCATCTGGCGGCTCTGTCCAATGACAAGCAGGCGGGCAAAAAGGTTTCTGTCGGCTCTTATCATGACATTCCTGTCTCCTGCTGTAACAGAAGTCTTCTTGTGTGTATCACGGAAACTTCCTAGCTTCAGTTTAGGGAGTGTTTCAAAGATTCCTGTTGAATTTGTGATTATTCTTTCTTCTACAAACGCTGTTAAAGCTGTTGCTCCCTTCTCTTTTGCCTCCAGCAGGTCTTGCTTAATGCTGTCGCTGGTAACATACCCCGAGCTGATGCAGAGAAGTTCCTCTGATGGTTCAAATGGGTTACGCCAGTTGCTGATTACTTCAGTCACTTTCTTGACATCTTCTTCGTCTCTTTTCATGCGAGCAGAACCTGTCTCCTTGTGAAGTCTACGTTGGCTTTCTTCTTCACCTGTGCTCATTTTCCGGTACTTGTCTACAAAAGCAGCACGGGCGTGCGCAGTAATCATCCATCGCTGAACCGCCCCTTTCCTTAGGCAGAACCCAACAATGCCTCCCTTTGTCTTAGTGCTTCTGTTGAGAGTCTGTTCAATTGTTTGATCTACAGGCATCTGTGAAAACCCATGGGACGTTGTTCGCTGAACCCCAAAATCACCATTCTCCAGGAGAACGTGAGCCTCTGGGCGACTTTCTGGCAGCGTTATCATGTGGGCCAAGTACACTGGAAGATATCGAGCGTAATTACTGTGGTCGTACGCGAAGAGCCAAGGCACCATCTCCTTGATGCACTCCAGATGCAAGGACCAGTTTCCTTCCCTGGTTGCTCGCAGGAAATTCATCAGCACCTCCACCATCTCCAGGTAGCTGTTCCAAAACACTTTAAGAGGACCATTGTCGTCTTTGCAGTATTCCTTGTAAAGATTGAATATTACTTGGAATTCCGGCATAGATATAAGCCTGTTGAATTTCCCTGGGCTAAACTCTTTTCGGATATCCTCTAAAGCACTCACAAGGGTCATGCTGTTCACCTGGTGCCCGTGTCGTTGCAGCCATGTTTTGAAACCCATCCATTGTAGTCGGTGCAATGCTTCAAACACAATCTAAAATAAACGTAAAAACGATTTATGAGTCTGTAGAAATCAAGACTTCATCGTATAAGCTATCTAACATCATAAGTAAACTGTGTCTACCTTATGTGTACGTACAGCGCGGTTGTAGTGACGGCCCTCAACAACTCCAGCTACAGATCCCGAGGCAACAATGCCACTTTCCATCAAAACATCTGCAAGACCGGCATCTCCAAATCGTTTGCCAATAGCCGCAAGGAAGGCACAGATGGTGTGAAAAGAGCCAAGCCGGACAACCAATCGTTGAAACTGATCCTTGTTTTGCCACAGCACCTCAAGAGCCTTTGCGTAGATCGCTTGATCGAAAACGATAATGACATCATGTTGTCCGAGCTGGTCAGCAATTTGTAAAGATCTCTGCAGCACTGTATAAACTGTGGAAAGTTCTGTGGGACTGGCTTCAATTACTTGACAATAGCCAATGGAGCATTCACGTGGAATACTGTTCTCATTTCGTAACGTGTTGAAGCCTGTCCACGCTGGTATTAACTGCCGTTGACTGTCTGCTATTGAGAAAAGGTTGTCTTCAATTCGCATTCTACAGAGTACCCAGCCAAAGTCTACCAACCGTGCAGGAACTGCGATTTCTGAGGAGGTTTGTATAATAGAGTTGACATCAATTTCGAGTGCACCAGGTCCCTGACGAGGTCCCGAATGATATGGAAGTACATCGGTAGAAATGCAAGTGATAGATCGGGCCTTGGGGTGATGCTGTTTAATGGACATCTCAAGTGGTAAGGCACAAGTAAGAGGTTTGCGTTGAATAACAATGCCATTAGTGCAATGAGTTGTTCCCTTCCCTGCAATAAGAAATGGATACAATTATTGGTGCAAAATTGCGCTATTTAACTGCTTTTATTAAGTTCCACTTGGGGATTAGAAAACTATTCAGATAGACTGAAAAAAAAAGTATATAAAAGGTCGGACAATTTACCAGACAAGGTTTCTTCTTGTAGGTCATTGTTATCCCAGCACAATACACCTAATACATTAGGGTGGCAAGCACTTGGTACAAAGACACCATTCTGTTGCTTTGCAATCTGCGTCTCGGCCAGAGCTGTCTCTACTTCCTCTACTTGGGAGTATGATAAGCCATGTCCAAACCTGTTCAGAATGGTTATTAATTCGACGTTTCCTGTAAGGCTCTTTACAGTCATGGTAAGGACGACATGTTTTGGAGTTTTTACGCGTCCACGACTGACAGAATGTATCAAATCCTGACAAAGAGAGAGGACGAGGCGATGGACGTTTGGCGGGAGGTTCGAAACTCTTTCAACAGAATATCCCGACTGTGAAGATAGAATCCACGCCATCATATTATAGAGCAGATCGGGTACTATGGCGTTCTCACAGTCTAGATCCTCTGATGACGGTGGCCATGCCATTGTTGGCTTCATGTTGCCTACCAGCTTTCGAATCATTTTAGCCATGTGAAAGACTTGACGGCTTTCATCTTCTTGTTCTCTTGTAACATCTGTAACATCTGATGGCGAAAGGACAAGCGTTCCCCAAAGCATCGTTTTAGACGGTTTTTAAGCTTCGAGGACCTGTAGGTCCTAACTTCCATTCCCTCTTGTAACAATGATGATATGTATTTGTCAGTGAGAATTGTCATGGGAATTGCTTTACCTGTAGTAAAGATTTCCTCTTCAACAACTTTTTTGATATTGCTACATGCTTTGTTATAGCTTTCCGTTCTGTCATCTTCTTCATTACAATTCTTTTCCTCTAGCTTACTGAGCTGCTTAGGGTGAACATAACTTTTATAACACGACCGGTGATACTTCACTTCCATCGCTATTGTGTCTCGTCCATCAATGTGCAACAGCAGGCGGCTGTCATTTCTGGTTCGGGCTGCCTTTAACAACGTGGCACTTCCAAACTCACTTATGTTTTGTGCAAGTGATTCTCTTGTTCTTGCTCCTTTACCACAAAACTTGGTTTTCTGACAAATCGCACATTTATCAACATCGAATGCTTCGAGTTGTGAACGGCAAACCATCTTAGCTGGAGGCTCAATACCACTGAACTTGTCAAAAATCTTTCCATCTCTGGCACTGCAATGTTTCTGTTCTACTTTCGTGACCTTGTTAATGTCTGTATATTGTTGATAGCATTGGTGTATCACGTGTTAACATGGCGCGTTCACTGCTCTTCTTGAGCTCCCGTTTTATTTTAATTTTATTACTATGTTATAGCCTTAGTCCTATAAGTATATGGCAAAATCAAATTCCAAGTGGTGAATCTCTCTTTCTGTCACTAAAATTGGACAGTAGAGTTTTTCCAAGTCGCAATAACGGTCCTCGAAAGGTGAATGGTGCTGTACTGCCGCCATGTTTAAAGGCCAAAGCTTCTCTTTTCGTTTTGGAAGTTGGATTGTCTACTCTATTTCTACTTATGTTAGCTGGAGACGTCTCTACTAATCCAGGGCCACAAACTGTACGTCCTGGGAGCCAAGGTATTGGTGAAAACTCAAGCTTTGTTTCGCTTACAAGCGATGAAGAGTCAGCTAGCATGGACGATACTGTTGAGTTTCATAATGACTCAGATGATTCTTCGCAAAATGATTTATCGCCTGATGGCTTTGACTACTTTAACCTACATCTTGGTCACAAAGGCATACGCTTTGGTTCTTGGAATGTCAACAGGCTTACGACTACAAAACTAGAACAAATAAAATTGTTCCTTCTTAATGAAGATGGTCGACCACGTTTGGATATTTTATCAATCAATGAGACGTTTTTGAAACCGCTCCTCCCAGATTGTCTATACTCAGTCCCTGGTTTCACAGTGCACCGAAAGGATCGGATGGGCCTGAAAAAATGGTGGTGGGGTTCTAATTTATGTGAATGACGATCTGAAACATCGAAGGAGAGTCGACATTGAGCATAATAATAATATAGAAGCATTGTGGTTGGAAGTCTTTCCATTCAAATCTAACCGTCCCATTTTATTCGCCGGCATTTACAGACCTCCTTCAACTAATTTATCAGAGGATGAGGCCATCGAGAATATGTTAGAATTAGTTTATCTATTAAATTTAGAAACCATCATTACTGGCGATATCAACATTAATTTTATTTCTCCGGCGTACAAGAAACATCCCTTGGGACGTGCCTTTTCTAACATGAATTTCAAACAGCTCATTACTGAAGTTACTCGACCATCAAGCGGAACCTGTCTTGACTTTGTATTGTCAAATTTTCCTGAAAGAATTAAGTCTATTGTCGTCAAAAACAATGGGCTGTCAGATCATTTGCCTGTATTTGGAGTTCGTTTATATGAGGATAACGCCAAGCGTCAAAATAAATCTTTAACGATTAAATATCGTAATACGAAGCATTTTGACAAATCCGCCTTCGTTTCCGACCTCAAAGAAGTTCCTTGGAATACTGCATTTGTCTTTGACGATTTAACTGATATCTTAAATGCATGGATGGGTCTCTTCATTAACATCTTGGATGCCCACTGTCCGTGGCGAGTAAAGAAAGTAGCCAAACAAAATCAAGCTCCATGGATGACTGTGAATATTTTACAAGCGCTTCGCAGAAGGGATTCTTTACTACGTAAAGCAAGGCAAAGTCGTTGTGTCACGGATTGGAACTGCTTCAAAATCGCGAGGAATAAAGTTGTAAACATGATTCGCAGTGCGAAATATAAATACTATAATACCTGTTTCAACAACAACAAGGGAAACTCTAAAAGATGTGGAAAACCATAAAATCACTAATGGGCGATGTATCAAAATCAGTTGAGACGCCAAATGTTGTTTTGGCCGAAAAGTTTAATGATCACTTCACTTCAATTGCTGATTCACTGAGGAATCTACTACCTAATGTACCTTATTGCAATTCAAAGGTTGAAAACTTTGTTTGTTCAAGAAAAGATCCGGATGTTCTTTTCAATATTCCTCCTGTTACCAAAGATTTTGTGCTGGGTGCTCTGTTAGGACTTAAAACAAACAAAGCTATGGGTATTGACAAGATAAGTGCAAGATATCTGAAAATAGCAGGACCAGCTATTGCTTATTCAATTACTCAAATCTTGAATATTTCAATTAATTCTGGTGTATTCCCTGATTGTTGGAAGATAGCGAAAGTCATTCCGTTGTTTAAATCTGGGGACCGTGAGGATCCTGACAATTATCGACCCATTTCGATATTACCTGTTTTGTCAAAGATTCTGGAACGTCATATACACGATCATCTCTATAATTACTTATGTGAAAACAATCTATTGTACCCTTTACAGTCAGGTTTTCGGAAACACCATGGAACAGACACTGCTCTTATACGAGTCATAGACAATTTGTTATTTAATCTAGACAATGATCAAGTCAGCGGTCTTCTTTTAGTTGATTACAGGAAAGCTTTTGATATGGTTGACCGTGAAATTCTTTTGCAAAAGCTGAATGCCTATGGTTTAACTCCAGTTGCAAGTAAATGGTTTAGTTCATACTTGACTGATAGACATCAATTTATTGCTATTGATAATGTGACATCTGACTCTACTCTTGTGAGGCATGGTGTTCCACAGGGTAGTATCCTTGGCCCTTTACTTTTTGTCATTTATGTCAATGATTTGCCTCTACATGTTAATGGTGCTGACCTGGATCTCTATGCTGATGACACCACACTGACATTATCGGCAGATATCTCAGCGGTTGATTCTCTACAAGATTCACTAGCTGCTTCTTTGAAGGAAATTGAATGCTGGACGCACACCAATAAACTTCCTCTCAATGAAAAAAAAAAGACTAAAACACTACTGGTCACAGGCAAACGCCTTGGGAAGAAACTACCAGATGGTTATAATTTATCTCTTAAAACTATGAATGGTGTATCATTGGAACAAGTACCCTCAGCTAAACTTCTTGGTATAGACATTGACCACGATTTATCAATGAACACTTATGTTGACAGACTGTGTAAAAAAATTTCACAAAGAATTGGAATTTTGAATAAGATCAAACTTTGTTTACCATTTAACCAAAGACTTTTATTTTATAATAGTTTAATTAAGCCATTATTTGATTATGCCAATGTTGCATGGCAGTCACTTTGCTCTAATGAATCTCTTTTAAGAATACTTAGGCTACAAAAGAGAGCTGCTAGGGTTTTATTAGATGCTGAACCACGTAGTTCATCAGTTATGCTATTCAATCGTTTAAAGTGGATACCATTTTATGACTCTACTAAGATGGCTAAATGTTCAATACTATTTAAAAGGATTAATTATTGTGTACCTAATTATCTTAATGATAGCTTAAGATTATTAAGTTCAGTACATTCACGCAACACTAGATTTTGTAAATACAACTTTTTATTACCTAAGTTTAAAAGGGCTAGAGAAGGAGGGAAAACTTTTCTAGTTTCTGCCATAAAATTATGGAATCAGTTAAAGCCTGAATTAAAAAAGTCTAATACACTTAAGGCCTTTAAAGACAACGTATTTAAATATTACTATAAGGACCAATCATGCTTAGCTCATTTTAATCCGTAAATTTTATTGATAGTAGTTTTATATATTCTTACTTGTTTTAGCTAATTTTCTATTTATATTTCATTCTATTAATGATTCTATTGTATTTATATATTTATTGTAATTAGGAGGACCACAAGTTTATTAGTGTTTGTGCACTATCACGTGCTATCCTCAATAAATAAAGTCTTCTTCGACGATGATATCCCCCTTTTGGTCCCTCATTCCAGTAGTCCTTCATTGTCATCCAAATCACATCTTTTCTCCTAATTGCACAGCTTTGAAACTTTTCCCAGCTTTTATCACTGAAGGATGTTAATTTATCTTCGAGATTTTCTCTAACATGGCAAAGACATTTGTTCCAGTTAGGTTTTTGTAAAGATGGGCGCTTTCTACCAACGGGCGTTATTTCTGTCATATCCTTGATTACGCTAGTTTTCCATTCATGAAATGTCTCTGAAACTCTTTTGATGTCACTAGTGAAAAGCACAAAAAGCTCTTAGCCAAATATATAGCCGAAATATAATGTTAAAATTGGATTTTACTCACAACAAAAAGACCTTTAGGTAGATAAGCTGGAGTAAAAAGTGAAAAATAAACGATCGATTACTTACAGTCATTCTAGCGAAGATTCTTCGAGATTTCAGCTTTTAAGAGGCCTTTTTTTTTTGCCATTACGGGCCTTCAAGAGCTTCCAAAAGCTTCCACATACCACAAATAACGGGCTTTGATAGAAAACATCTGTAAAACACACGGTTATCTTACGTTTTAATCAAAACACCGATTTCCAAGATGGCCGACCTTGGATAATGAGTTTGAATTGCATCATGGGATGTAAAATTTGGAATGGAATTTATGGAATGGAGAACATTGGATTATTCTTAAAATGTGTTTTTTTTTTCTTTAATAAAAAAACTTAAGTATGTGACTTCACAGGTCACTAGGTTTTGTCAGTTAGCGTCAGAGGAATCTTCGAGCTCTACTTTTTAAGCGAAAAACAAAAAATATTTAAAAAAATAGTCATATAGGGACAGTTATTCATATGGAAAATTAATTTAGCAATAAAACAATGGAATTCTTTACAGATTACAGAAAATGTACAGCTAAGCCATTAAGCAAAATAATAATAACAAAGTTACACTTCTGATACTGAACAAAGGCTTCTGAATACGGCCAGGTCAAAAACTTGCCCCACCCATCCCCTCTTAAGACTGCTTTTAACACGGAATAACAATTGAAATAATGCCAGAGACAATCTAATCTAAATGATAAGAGTCGCTTGCAGCTAATAATGCTTTATTATTATTAAAATGCAGTTTCTGAAATAAAATCAAGTTAATAAATTTTAATGTCTATACTTGAAATAGTTGCCTAGCAACAGTTGCCATGCCAACACCCAATTTGGGTTTTGACAAACAAGTGCACATAACTTTATCTTAAGAACACTTTTGGCTGTTTTCTTTTCATATCGGATCAGACGGCTGGGAGATATTTGCTGTTTTCAAACTAAAAATTAACTCTTGAAAAAAAGTCTAACCACCCACCCCCCCTTGGAAGTAGTTGTTTTTCACGCTTACGCTTAAGTTACATAAAAAGTAACAAGTATATTATCAAAGTATACACGCTAAGCTTTCATTTGATACCAAATACACTATGTCTTATGGGGGTTGCTACGAAAGACATTTTTGAGGTGTCTTGGCTCATGGACTAATGTAAGTAACTGAGTATATAATTTGAGGCAGACACACGCAACACCTTATCCGTTTGTCAGATTTGTTACATGCATTTCAAGATCAAGAGAACGTAATTGTCCCAGTTATGTTCTCTTGGGGAGAAAAATTATTTTGTCCATATTCATATACTCATGAAGATATTCGAGAATTTGAGTGTAATAATTCTTCAGAGGCCCGAATTGGGAAACAAAATGTGCATGGTAACAAGGTCTATTCAGGCATGGAAAGAC